AATATTAAAGAGAAATTCACAACGCTTGATTACAAAAGTTAGTAAATAAGTAAATAAGTAAAATATGATTTATTATTTTATATAAATGTAATAATAATATTGTATAAAAATAAGGTAATACCTAATATACATAGCTACATTATGAGACAATTTTCGAAGAATCAAATGAAGCTCAGAGTAAACGTTCCGAGGAAGTGAAAAGAGCAAATAATTAAGGCTCCCCAGGAGCCAGATTTGCTACTAGAGCAAGAGCGGCGGAACGATGAAAAGAGCGAATAAATGAAGACTCCGTAGTAATTAGATCCGCGGCTATAGAAGAAGCGATGAAAAAAGAGAATAATGAAGACTCCGTAGTAACCAGATCCGCGGCTATATAGAAGAAGCGATGAAAAGAGGGAATAATGAAGACTCTGTAGTAATCAGATCCGCGGCTATAGAAGAAGCGATGAAAAGAGCGAATAATGAAAACTCCGAACGACTCAAATCTGCACCAGAGAAGCAGTGCCAGAGCGATGAGATCTGGGAGTCCGAGGAGGAAATTGAGCAACTACGATCTACGTACTTAAAACAGTTCCTCGCACTCCCAGATGGGGGGGGGGAACTCCACCCATTTGCAAACAGGGTTAGTCAGTTTCGCTGAGATGCGACTGTTTATTTAATGTTTTGTTTTTTAAATATTAGATAGCACACGTATATACATATAACACATACATAAAAAAAGGTCAGAGACGCTTCCGGTAAATAATAAAAGAAAGAATGTTAGTGTTGACATAAGAGGAATCAAATTTTTGGCACGCTTCCCAACAAGAGCTGTCCGTCAACTTTCAAAGAATGACTCCGTTTACGCTGGGTCGGAGCTCACCCGCTCAGTAAAGCTAAACGGTTCTTTGAATCAATTCCAGAGCGGATTGTCCACCTCTAATACAGACGTAGTGGAGCATTAAATGTATCAAAATATTAATGTAAATACGTTATTTTCCTTGTGCTAATATTATAGTAAAAGGCGTCCTCTGGGAAGGCTTAAGGACTCTTCGGCACCGATTTACCTTCTGAAATGGAGTCTCATCTAGTCAGGCCCTGCACACTCACGCGGTGCATCCCTGACTGCAGCGCTTGCAACATGTGGACTGTCTGTTCCATGTCATTCGATGAGTCACCGCAGCGGAAGAAGTTTCAAAAGAGCACTTCCCATATCTCATCTTTATTTCTCAGAAATGGGCGTTTTCGTGGTTTTCCCCATGTGTAACGTGTATACGAGCCAGTTTCCCTTAGAAAGTCCTCCACGAAGGCATCCCTCCTCTTAGACAGATAGCCCTAGGGTGCTTTGTCATAATTAAATACACCTATTTCTCAGAAAGCATTATTTCTCAGATAAATTACACTGGTTCCTTGATTTGCGCAGTACTTTTTATAAGCGATTGTTTTATATTCAGAAGATAGTCTCGCAGGTTTCACACAGTATGTGTTATTATTTTTGGTTTCGAGATTCTGTTATGCGTGATCCCGAGCATATTTACAGAAATTTATTCGATGGCTTCCGCCCACAAATGACAAAGTGGTCAAGACCGGTAAATTCCAATAGTCTGACATGAACTGAAAATTTGGCAGCCTGACTGCTCGGGTGTTTTTCTCTGGGTCTAGCGTGAGTATAAACTCGTTTGTCATAAAAAGTCCTCCAAGAAAGCATTCCTGCTTTAGGCAGGATATTCCTTGCGTGTTTTCCCGTGTTCGATTAAGTAGCTAAACATTTACTTTATCAGAAAACAATATCTTATTTATCAAATTTGTTGTTTATGAATTAGTCTCAAATTTTTATTTGATTTACTAATTACATTATTTTGACCTTTTTTGGGTTAACTTTGTGGGGAACATCTTAAACTACTTTGTACCAGCGGTAATTTTACTTTTCAGCACTCTGCAATAATACAGCAAGTATAGAGTACAGTGTAAGAAATAAGATTCATATTTTGCGTAAATTCAGGAAGCAGTATATAATACTGTTACCAAAAGAAAGCTATTTCTTTGGCACAATTAATATTTCTCTATCAATCTAGTGGATGGCTTTAAAGCCAATTGTCTAATTAGCATTTGTATCCAAATATGTACCTAACCGTATGTACAATTTTACATCTTAGTTATATCTAATACGTCTAAATGTTATCTTCCTATTCCACTTACCTCGAATGTCTATTAGCGAAAGAACTAAAAATCTGGTTTGCCTTGTACCATTGCAGCTAAACAGTTTATTCGAGATTATTTTTAAATAACGGGCCAAAAGTTAAAGATCTTTTTTTCAAAATAAAATTTCTTATCCTTCTTTGATAATTCATACTTAACAAGAATGTTGTCCAAACAGAAAAAGACAGAGAAACAATTTCTTTTAACTCATTTTTTTAAATCATAATTCTCTTTTTTAAATTTAATTTTTTAAATTAAAAAAAGCAAAAATTCCTTTTCTTGCACCAAATTATTTTTCTTGAGTATAAATTTTTGTGGAGTTTTTTCAAGTATATCGCCCTTTTCAACATTAATATCAATAAAATTGTCTTTAAAATATTCATACTTGAATAAATTAAAAATGCTCAAAGAAATAGATAGCGTATTTTATTTGCGACAGAAATATTTGTTCTAATTTGAAGGAACGCGCTTTTAAAAATAAAAAATAAAATAAAAATTTGGTATTCCGTATCCTTTGCCTAATCACAATCAATTATGAAACCATTTATGATTAACTGAAGTTCACTTCAGACTTCATTGCTTGCGAGTTTCCTATTTCCGACATCTCGAAAGGCGTACTGTCTTTTTCCTATCCGTCAAATGAACTGGTTTCTCTAGAAGTTTTAACTAAACATTTTGTTTCTGTCATTCCTTACCTCTACGTTCGCCTTTTTTTATAATAAATAAATTTGAAAGGTTCCATACGCTAAAATCAGAGTATTAAAAGCTTGTTAGAATGTTTGAATGAAAGATTTATTTTATGGAGAAAGTATATTTATTTCTTGCAATTCAGTATTCCTTTTACTCTTCTTCAACAACAACAACAATAATAATTAAATACCTATCTTTTAAAAATTTTCAAGTTCCACATCAAGAATATAAAAACGTAATTTTTGAGAAGCGAACTTTTGAAGGATCACAGAACAAAGTAAAAAGTGGATTCCAGTTTGTATATCAATTCAGAATCTTATGTGTCAAATCTAGCACTTTTTTAAAATTTTAACAATGTTAAAAGTTTATATCAATTTAAAATTAAACTAAGCACCTCAAGTATAAAAATCAGTATTTTTGGAGGACTCCGGTAAAAGATTGCTAAACTATATATTAGATCGCAAACAATTTGGATTGCCCCTGTTTTATTCTCAATTACTATTCATTCGTAAAGAATCTTTTACCCCAAATACTATTTCTAACCTACAGGCAATCACCAACACATTTCTTTAAATTTTGATGCAGAGTGAATTGCCTCCCCCCTTTTTACTTCGTTGTACAAAGTAAAAAGGAAGTATTTTAAAAAGTGGATAAGAAATAAATTCAGTAGTTTCGGATTTGAAAAAGCCTTTATTCTATTTGACTATGCTTTAATTTTCCTTCTTATTTTATTGCAAAATGCTTCGAAGGAACTGAGTGACTACTGTTAGATAATTAAATTAAAATGACCAGATACCTCTTTGCTTTTATTAAATTTACCTTTAAGGCAAAGTAGCCTTTCTTTGTAAATGGCGGCAGCGTATATTAGACAGTGAAATAATCTGAACTTAGTTCTAACTTATAAACCTTTCAGGTAAGCACCTTCGAACTTTTAACTTGCTTAGTCGGCTAACGGACCTCGGCAAAGAATTTGAGGGCTCTCTGCATAAAGGCTGGGATGCCTCGTTGCAGGACTTTCGAAGGCAAATTTCACATACTCAGATGTTCAAGTAGTTATAAGAAAAGTACAAAAACACCTTTTATGCCTACCAAAAGCCTAAATTTATACTGTTTCTCATTATTTGCTTCAAAGAACATATTTTATTATGAATATGAGTATTAAATTTTCTCCACCGCATCTTCCGTTTATTGCGGTTTAGATTTTAGAAGGAACAGATACAAAGGAAGGTACAAGGAACAGATACAGGGAAAGTCAAGAATTTAACCAAATATTTCGAATACCTTTTGCAGAACTTTAAAATTAAAAAATGCATAAACTGAAAAACAAAAATTTTACTTCATGATATTCATGTTGAAGAATTAGATGATGAGCTGATATAATTTATTTTAAGAGCGAAAAAATAAAATTTGTCAAACTCGAATGATATGCACTAATCCACAGAAATTAGACATTGCATCTTATTTCCTTAACACCAAAAATTTAAGAATAATTTAATTATGTCTGTAAGCAATGCAAAAAGAGAGATATCTCTATTTTAAAACGAGTTAAAAACTATTTAAGAAATTCAGTAGGACAGTAAAGACTAAGGTCTTTAACAATACTTGCAATAGAGCAGAATAATTTCAAACGGCTAGATTGCAAAGATTTTATTCATAATTCATTTTAAATGAAAATTTTTAATTTTATGAATGCTAATTACTGTATTTTTCTCTGTGCAGAAACTTTTCTTAATTATACAACTATTATTGTATCTGTATTTGTATTTTTTATTATCAATAAGAAATAAGTGGCATAATTTAAGATTTCATTAGAAGCAACTCATACAAACAGGGCCTCAATCTGAATTTATCTAGGTCACGCTAGAGGTTTAATCCGGTAATGGTTTCTGTTATTTATTCGAAACTTCTCAATTTCAAATGTATATGTCTTTCTTGTAATATTGTAATAATTTTATTATCTCTGCTCTATTTTATCGCTGTTTTTCGTCTTTCTGAAACTCACAAACAATTAAAAGTGAAATTTCGCGCTAAACGGATACCAATAACTTGGCGATAAAAAATTTGTCGCTAAATCACTTTATGTAGCACCCTGCGCGGTATGAAAATAAACTGGAACAGCAGCGCCCCCACAAAACATTGTCCATTCCGTAGTTCCCGCCAAGCTTCCAAAACTGGGGTACAGAAGCCTTGGACTAAAATTATGTTACCGTGAAGTATTGCGATCAGAAAACTTTTATTCATAATCAAGATACCGTAACAAACTTTTCAGCTTCCTGTAAACTTCATGGAAAATTCTTTGACTCTTCCGTTCCGTGAATCAAAGCTCAAACTTGTGTGGAACTGAAAATACTTTCAGCATTCTTTTATTCAGTAACTAGGGTAAGTTTTGCAATTTATTATTTTTCAACCATGCTGATCGTTTGCTTTTTGTGCTGTAATTCCGCTGAATAAGGAATTCAGTAAATGATTTTTGAACGTTTGGTACTATTTTAGTCAATAGATGGCGCCATCATATCGCATAACGCTTCTTTATGTACAGGTGGTTGCTGTTTATGATTTGCTTGACAGCAGGTGTTCGATCGTGCTAGTTAACCATGCTTTTTACACGAAATAATTGAAATTTTGATTCAAAGTTTAAATGATGTAGCCTAGTTTTTAGCTCAGTAATTATCTCATCATAGAAGCTTGAAATAATTGCCCTTCGGGAAATGGAATGAATGTTCACTTGTATTTTTAGAAGTTTCAATTAAATATAGTTATAAAATTTAAGAACGTATAGAACAGACAGAATTTTCTCATCATTCATCTCATCGCAGTTAATTACAGATTTCTAATGAGAAATCTGTAATTAACTACGTTACAGATTTAAAACAGCTTGTTTTTATATGAAAAATAACTGAAGTTATTTTAAGTGACGTTTTCGTTACCACACCTAGCGAAACATCCTTGATCTCATTCCTCCGTTCATCTCCTAATATTTAAAATTCTTCTAACTTAGTTGCAACTGTTAACGTGCTTGAGAGAATTTCTTGAAATAATAATAGCAATAAAAAAGGATAATTTTGAAATGATGTGATGAAGCTTAAAATAGTAGCTTAAAGTCTTTGAAATGGTAATCGCAATGAAAAAAAATAGTGTTGAAATAGTAGATGTTTGGTACTCTTCGGTTATTCGGAACGGATTCAAAAATGTATGTATATATGTATTTGCGCATATGTGTGTGTCTCTACATACGTGTGTACATACGGATACATACGTACGTACATGTACATATGAATGAACCACATACTTACGTACATGTATACATGCATGAATACATACACACATAACACATGCATGCATACATTTCTTAATCCGATCCCGATAACAGAACAGTACCAGATGTTTTAGTGAAATACGAAGTGGAATTATAATTTCTTATTAAGTATATAATTAAAATTTTCAAAGATAGTTATTTCGGCTGTGGCAGTTTACGTAAATGTAAAAATGTGTAAAATTGTAAATGTAAAAAATTTAATTGTCAGTTTAATTTGGAATAAGGAGTTTTGTGCATTATTTGTTCGTTTATTTTTGCAATCAGTTGCATGTTGGGGATTTTCGGTTACAAAAATTTAAAGGTACTCTTCTGTTATCGGCACCGGATTCAGAAATGTACATATGTATGTGCATATATGTGTGTGCGTACACACACGCATATACATATACATACATCCATACATACATACATATATAGTACATACATATCTGAATCTGGTCCTGATAACAGAAGACTACCAATTTAAACTACCAATAAATCTGTTTATGATATTTATGTGAAACGTATGTGAGTCTATCTACATGATTTTCTCTTTTTGGTTTATCTTTTCTTTCTTTTAAACGGTTTGCCCTTCATACCATAAATCAGTGGTGCCCAACCTTTGGCCTCTCGCGAGCACATTTCCAAACCATGAACATTTTTGTTAAACATATTTCCAATCTTATGTGATACATCTGAAATATTAATTTCGGCAAATGGTTTTGAGATGAATAATAATATTGGTTGAGCTTTTTGGAAATCAGAGAAGCAGAGTTGAAAATTATTTTTCAGTGCATTTAGGTTTTCCAAGTATTTTGTTGTTTCAATTGCCTTGTGGTTATTAATATGAATTTTGAAAATGGGTGAAATTATTTTCTTTCATCTGATTTATCCACAAATTTTACTTTATCTGAAAAGCAGTTACAGTCCCAGTCAATTGAAAAAGGGTTTTTATTTTCTTTTCCCTGGAGATCTTCATTCAGTTTGTTCAGTTTAGCTGTTATATCCATGAGAAAATACAAATCGGATAACCAATTATTATCGTCCAATTCTTTATAACTTTCGTTTACGTTATTCCAAAAACTGCTTTACTGGTGAAAGAAGTACAAATCGTTGAAGTACTTTTTCCCTGCTGAGCCATCTAACATCGGAATGAAACAATAAGATTCCATATTCTCTATAAAGTTCATCAGTCAGCAATCAATTATTTTATAACGTCTTGCAAGATATCTCTTATGACTATAAATGCTTACTATATTTTAACAATTAAGAAATATAAATGAATGGTTATTTTTAAAATATTTTTTGTTCATAGTACCTAATCGGGTTGGCGAGCACAAGGTTGGGTACCGCTGCCATAAATCATCCATTTTATTATTGCCTAAATTACATAAGATTTGTTTTAACTTGCTTACAGGATTTAGAGCCTATAAAACCAAAAAATATAAAAATCTTAATTTATAAATTTGGTTCACTAATTTCAAAAGCATTTATTGCTATGCATGCTTTTCTGCCATCTTCCTTTGCAACAAACAAACCGCCGGCAAGATTTACAGTAACATTTAATTCCGTTTTTAAAGTTAATTAAAAAATAATATATTTAAGGATCATATGAAATGTAAGAACATATGAATGAAAAGAACGCTGTATCTTAATCGCTGAATCTAGCATATGTGATAATTTTTACCAGGCTAAGAAAACATAAAATTAATAATTTAGAAATATTAAATAATGTTAGCAATAAAAGTAATTTTGCTTTTAAAAGTCAGAGTTAGATGTGTAACTCTTTAACAGATATTTGATAATCTCAGTCATGTTAGGTCATGTTTGTCTTAGTATATTATCACAGTTATTAACATCGGGTTTCTGGTTAGTTTCAGAGGTGGTGCACGCAAAATATCTTTTCCATGCACACTTCTATATTTTTTCAACTAATTACTGGTAGTTTTATAAACTAGTCATGTACAAATACTGTATTGTCAACAGAGATGAACTAACGATAGTAAAAAGTAAAAATAAATATATCTTATTTATATTTAATTTAGCCATTGATTTTTTTTTTTTTTTTTTCTCAGGAATTTGTTTTCTGTGCAGTAAAAGTTGAAGCTCTAAGAAATTTAAAATTTTTTCATGAGTTAAAAGTGACATTATAATTGAGTGCAGCTTATTTTTTTATAGTTCGATATTTAGACTAATATCTGTAACTGGCATTTCCCATTCTGATATAGAATTCAACCAGTCCGAATTTAGTGTGTAACATCAGGAATGCATCTAAGTTTTTACATTTTATGAAATGAAAACGCTGGTATTTTGACATATAAGTATGGCGTGTAAGTGACGTTTTGTGTTAGATGTGTAAGTATTTTAGCAGTAAATTATATCTGACATTGCATTTTGAACCCAGTTTATAAGGTATTTCTCTCGCCTTCTTAGCGAGCCTTCTTGGTGTACCGCTGCCATAAATCATCCATTTTATTATTGCCATAAATCATCCATTTTATTATACCTATCAATTACGCTCAGCGCGTAATTGAGAGGTCCGTGGTTCGATTCCCGGCGGAGGCGTTGCATATTTTTCATCTTGCCTGCTTCCAAAAATACCTAATGTTTCTACAGTGGCGCCCGAACTAAAAAGGTGTTGGATGATGATTCTCCTTACCCAGGATTTGGCGAATGGATCCCCTAAAAACCCCAGTCGCTCTTTAAAAGGGGGGAATATATAAGGTATTTCTCCCACATTCTTGGCATGCCTTCATGGTGTGGTGGTCTGCACACTGGGCGCGTATTCCAGAAGTCTGCGATTCGATTCCTGGCGAAGGCGTTGCTACTTTTTCATGAATCTTGCTTCCAAAAAATACCTAATATCTCTACAAGTTTATGAAGAATATCAGGTGATATGACGAAATGGATTAGGATTAATGAATTTAGATAGTTGGACCCAAGTTCGAAGACTGAGCTGGCTGCAATAGCTCTGACATAGGTTTTGCTATATGTTTACCTTAGAAAATCATACACGAAAGCATCCTTCCTCTTTGGCAAATTACGCTTATGCACTTTTTTAAATTGCCGTACTCAGTTTTAAAATATGTGATAAGATGAAAAGCACGTCGCTGCCATTTATATTTTCACATAGGAAATGGTGTTTTGTTCATAGAGAAAAAAAAAAAAAATCAGTGACTTATTTTGTATTTATTTTAAAAAGAAAACTATACCTCTGTATTAATATTTTTCCATCACAGAGTAGATTATTTCTTTTTAATCAAACATGAGTATTTTGTGCACCAAAATGTAAAAAACAGTTTGTCAGACAGAGATGCGAGAGAAAGACAATATTTTGAAGAACAATAAATTAAGCCAACTGTATAGTTCCGCCTTACAATCGTGCGACTAGTATTTCATTCTTATTATAATAACAAAAATGAATAAAAAATTAACTGTATAAATATCTTGTCAGCATTTTTCTAGAGAACAAAAAATCTTAATTTTTGAGCTAACGTAATTTTAATAATTGAAACGTTTACTTCTCACCCTAAAAATTGATGTTGTGTTTTGGTAACGTTACGGCTTCAGTTTTGTTTCAGAGCTTACTAAGAGTTCAGTGAACCATGATTCAGCTCAAACGACTGAAAATCTATGTTCTAGCAGTGAATAGTTGAATTTCAACTGGCTTCACTTCCAAATTCGCATCAGAGGACTAGATTCATGTTCACTTGTTTTATTATATTATATTGTTTTAATATATTTGCTTTTCGAAACCTAGTGTTAAAAATCGGATCCAACCAACGGATTATAATTTTATTCAAATACCAGTAATTATAATTTTATTGTAATTTATTATAATGCAGTTTTGAAAGTATTTTTAGGTGTAATTTGTCATAATTTTTTTTTTTTTTTTTTTTTTTTTTTTTTTTTTTTTTTCAAAAAGTTTTACCAGCAATTTGGAAACCACTTTCATTCCTGATGTTTTATGTGCTTTGTAATAAAAACAATTTGTCGGCTATTTCAGGTTGAGATTTCGAAGTCCTTAGCCGAAGCTTGAAAACGAGATGAAAATCATTATGATAGTTTACTTCTTGAAAGCTTT